ATACTATACTATACTATACTATACTATACTATACTATACTATACTATTTTAACACTGATATACCTAATGCTGGCTATGTTATCATACTCATGGACCATAGGCCCAGGAGGATATCATGTAAACCAAGGAGAAAATTTGGATTGTCAAATATAATTCCATAGCAAATTGACGTGGAGACAGGAGGTAACCAGGAAGCACGCATCCATCTGCATTGCCTCTCTGCCTGCCCCCCCTCCCTCGCCTGGCTGAGCATTTTAGCCAAGCGCGGGCCGCCGAGGAAGATCTGCTCTCGGGAGGTTGACTTGCACTATTCTCACAGAATGTGGCCCGCATTCAGCCAAAACGCGCAGGCTGGCAGCAGGCAGCAGAGGGAAGGAGTGGCAGGCAAAAGGGTGATAGGGGAGCAGGAGGCATAGTGTTGTGCTCCCTGGTTGCCCCCTGTCCCTAGCAGGCAAGGCCAAGCAACTGTGGGAAATCCAGGCAGGGGGTGAGATGCAGACTAGTGGGGAACCAAGTGGCAATGGGTCAACCCTGGTTCACCTTCCTCTCTGACACCAGCAAGCCAGGTAAGATGGAGGCTGGGGATGGTTGGGGGGGAAGCTTGCTAGGCTGCGAGTGCCGCATGGGTGGCACTGGCAGCTAAGCAAGCTAGGCAAGTGGGGAGGGAACCTTGCTAGGCAGTGAGTGCTGCATGGGTGGCGCTGGCAGCTAAGTAAGCCAGAGAGGGATGGGGGGCAGCTAGCTAGGTGATGAGCTCTGAGGGAGGCAGCGGCACAGCTGTGGCAGCCTAGGCCAGCCCGGGGGTTGGGACTCAACCAGGGCTTGCGGCAGTGGTGGTGGCAAGGGCGAGGGTGGCAGTGGTAGCATGGTGGTGGTAGCCTAGGCTGGCCCAGGAGCCAGGACTCAACTGGGGCTGGCTGCAGCAGCAGCATGTAGGTGACCGGGCTTACCTAGAGAGATCATGGTGGAAGGCAGACAGCCATGGCTGGAGGGTGGGTGAAGGCAGGCTGCAGACAGTGATGGCACATGGCTGAGATAAGGAGGGGCAGGGCAGGGCAGGGCGGGCAGGGTTAGAATGCAGTCAGCTTGTTGTGCACACGCACCATGTCGCACATGTGTGATAAGGTCTGGGCAGGGAGCAGAGAAGCGGACAGGGAGGGGCAGGGCCAGCCAGGGCTCATTTTACCAGTTCTCTGAACTACCAGGAATCATAACAATCGGTTCTACCGAACTGGTCCGAACCAGTAGAATCCCATCCCTGCTATTAGTATATGTACTTTCAAAACTCTTGCATTTCACCAGGAATGTGAAAAGTGTTATTTTGGTGGCAATTATTCCCAAATATTGAAAATTGAAGGCATGATGAATCTATGGGAATAAAGGTGGCCTTGATTTATAAATATTAACATTATAACGTTTGCTAGCTTGATACAGATTTCTTGCATTGTATGTACATATGTAGAATAATCAGTGAACCAGTTTCCTCAGTTTTGTACATTTGAAGATTGACCGTAACTGCTTACATTGTAACAAGGTACATACCTGGAGCCTGACCTCATCATAATAATTAAGTAGTAAGGCATAATGATTTCTAAAATAACAACTTCTATGTCAGAGTCCATGGACAAGCTACCTTAATTTATAACGTGCAAAGCAACTTCGAAGATGTCTGCCTCAAAACTCCTGGATATCATCTTTAAAGCCTAAATGACAAAGCCTAAAATATATCAAGCATCATAACCTTCTGCCTGAGTGTATTTCTCAGAAGAGGATTCTTTACACCTTACCACTGTTGGAAATTTGGTGTGTAAATTCACAGGAAACAACCTTCTTTGAAACAGTACCAAGGTTTCTTGGAATTGGAATCCAATTTCATGAAATCTGTTGGTCCTAACCCTAATAATACTTTAGCTCATTAAAATGATTTGTTTCAGTGAGTTAATGGTCTTGATTGAGTTTTATATGCAGTTCCTAAAACTATTGAAACATAACATTGCTGTTCTACTTATGTCAAGATTCAAGGTTCAAGTTAGTCTGTACTTTTTGCTAGCTTTCCACAACGTGGCCACTTCCAGATATGTCTAATTCCTATCATTGACCACTATCATACTGTTAAATGGATGATCTAGGGACAGTAAGAATTGTAATCTACATGTATTACATTTCAAAGGCAGCAGCAAGATCCTGGACATAATGAAAAGTCATGATATAAATATTAATACTTATAATAACAGTGAATACTTTCTCTTGTGCTATTAGCTGTGGACAATAAAAAAGGACACAGAATTGAAAAAGGTACTTGACTCAAGATTCAATTTTATTTAATTACCAGTTTGCAAAAGCAAGCAGCAACCATGGATTAGAAAATGATAAAATTATAAAAGAATAGGAACTTAATTTATTTTCCTATCTTTTTATCATGCTTAATATTAGGAACTATGCTTCCCAGAAAATTGAGTTATTATGCCTTATGGCGATTCCATTCAGACACTTTATACTCAGATGGGGCACGACGAAACCACTCTGACCAAGATCCATCATAGATGGCCACATCTGGTTTACCACAGAGATATGCTCCCAAGGCAATATGGCAGGCTGTAATCCCCTTGCGGCATGTGGCAATCAAAGGCTTTGAAAGATCCACTTTCTTTTCCTGGAACATGCTCTGGATTTCTTCTTGGGTTTTCTCAAAACCTTCCTCAGTCAAGAAGTTGAAGAAAGGAATGTTTATGGTACCTAAAATGTGACCTGGTTCTATCCCTGGAATAAGAGAAAGAGTAATCACTCAATCAAGTCATAAAAAGTACTTCCCGTAACTATTATGATCAAATTCAATTCAATTTTATTATATCCCTAAGGCTATAATACAAACAAAATATTGAATAAAAGAAGTATTACATCTTTCTACGTATATGTATGCATGCACAAGAGGAAAAACCATGAGCATAATAGAGTCTAAAATAAATGCAAATAAAATAGTATTATAAGAAGTTCTAATCCTAAGTAATGGTATGGCGTATAAATGATAGCACCTAATTGGGGTACAAATGGTAGCACAAAACTGGGATTGTGGTTAAATAATTAGAAATTACAAATGATTTCTAATGCAAATAAGTTGAGTAAAATATAAGAGATAATGTTGGTTATATGGGTGATTGTTAAATGTAAAATAAAAAAGCTTTACAAACATCTGTTTCTAATAAGTCTCAACTCCAGAATTTACTGCATTTAAATATCGATCAAGATAATTGCAGATTTTTGGAAAAGATGGATGAGAATTGCTTTTAAATCTATATATCTTAAAAAGCCACATTTTTTTTAAAAAAAGTCAAATTTAAAGAATGCTTTAATCCTGCATTTAATAATGAAATGAAATGCAATATCCTAATTACAATTACTTCATAATCACTTCCATAATTTAACCTTAACAGATGAGATGAAACAATACCCATTCACATCTGGGGCATCAGCAAAGTAAAATAGACTGGAATTGGACAACCTTCAGTCAGAAGATCATAATGTAATGCTCAAGACATGAAACAGTCAGGAAGAAAATGGCAGACACAGTACTTGAGTACAATGCAGTCAATGATCAAGTATCTGTTAGTTTCTCATCTATAAAGTCCTGGATGGAAAAGGCCAGGTTACTTGTGGGATCATGTCTCAACTCTCTGTGGTTTCTGCCCCATCTCACCAAATTTGGCAGGGTGGACAATGCACTGGGTCCTTTCTATTAAATAATGTAATTTAGATGACACTAGGCATGCTTTCTTGATTCTGGAATCTAGCTTATAATACAATTTTCCCCAAGATTTGGACAGGCCTGAC